AGGGGGAAACACCTCAGAGAGGGGCAGGCAGCCTTACAGAGAGGGTAGACATCTACCTCAGAGAGGGGAGAGAGGGGCTGGCAGCTTTACCAAGGGGGAAACACCTCAGAGAGGGGCAGGCAGCCTTACAGAGAGGGTAGACATCTACCTCAGAGAGGGGAGAGAGGGGCAGGCAGCCTTACTGAGGGGGAAACACCTCAGAGAGGGGTGATCAGAGTGGGCAGCTTTACTGTGAAAGAAGACGTGTTAGTGTGGGGAAAGCAACCTCACTGAACGGACAAAAAGGCAGGAAAAGTTCACTGGGGGCCACCGCTGCCTCAGAGATAGGAGGTGATTGTCTCCTGTATCCCATAATATAAATATCCCACCTTCTCAGCGCATTTTCCCCACCTAGTCAGGTTTCCCTATAGCCATTAAAGTAGCAGAACTGCCGCTTTGCAGTCCTTAAATCACGGTGCTTTGCACACTGCCTGACGCGTGCTTTCAGATGTATTTCCATTGGCAAACCAAGATCAAACCCTATGTGCACACAACCTGAGATGCCCCAGATACTGGAGACCCAGCCTGATGTACCCTGCTTTACCTTACTGAAAGCTAAATTGTGTATAGCATTTAAAGCAATAGCACTTTATCTGCAATAAATGACAACTTCTCCCCCTGTTAAATAAAAAAAAAGGAAAAGTTCATTTTGCCCAAACATGCTCCATGTACTGGGAATATTTAGTTTAAAACAAAGATGCTTTGTGGTCTTTACAGAAAGATGCATCTAGTTAAACTGATTCTGTACATGAATGTATCTGTCATGCAGATATTGTGGAAGATGTAAATATATCTTCCTCATCATCAGATTGTAATGTTTCTGTCACTCGCAATCTTTAGGGTGGTTTTGGAAATGTTTCTCTGAGTTTCCCAATGAATTGTGAATTTGGCATGAATTTTGAACAAATCACCAGGTAATAAAGAGAGCATTGCCTGGGTTTTGTCGACTAGCTTAAAAGGGCCTCCACTCTTGATCCTGACTAACTCAGGATTGTATTATTTGTTTGAAATTCATCGTGATTAGTTTGTGGCAAAATTCAGTGGATAAATGCATTACTAATATGGTAATATTATTAATTATTATGGCGAATTAAGAATTAATTATTATTACTAACATGGCAATATAATAATTAAGTAATAATTAATTATGATTATTATTACAGATATGGTAATATTACTGATATGGTTATATTTTTAAAGCTGCCATTCTCTTGACTCACTGGAAGCCAAATGCTTCCATTTTGGCTAGGTACAGGCATTCAAAAAGCCTGAACGTGAATTGACCTAAGTTACACGGTTTTTGGTAAGTGGTATAGTTTAGATTGGTAGCAAACAGAACGCACATTTGCCCTTTGGTGGCAGGAAGGAGGCAAATCTTAGTCTGGGTTCCACCATTTTTCAACCAGTTTATGTGCGCCAAACATCTGTTGTGTTATGAGTATAGACTGGTTGTGTGTGCTGAACTTCTGTTCTGTCATGGGCGAGGACTGGTTTCCTGTCACTTATACCAGTAAAAGTGTAATGTCTGTACCTGCCTTTATGGTGTCAAGTGTGTCTGATTTGTAAGGAGTTGATTGTTTCTGTCTAAAAAGTCATATGGCTCTGGATCTTTATTTTGCCGGTAAATGCCCATTATGCTATCTTTCATCACCTTTATTTCATATGAGTGATGGATACAGAGTCAATATAAATACAGAAGTGTTTGTTTATCTCCCTTATGGTAGCCTGGTAGTAAAATGATCAGGAGCTTTATAGAAAATATTTCTTAGTCACTTCATTTTGTATGGTTTTTTGTATGCAATATTTTAAAAATTGCTTTTCTTTTAATGTTGGCTTATTTCTTTAAATTTCAGAACTGTCTTATCAAGCTATTTTCTTTTGTGAACATGGAAACCACATGCTGCCAGACATTTCTATCCATGTCATCAGATGAAACCGAAGGCTACCCTCATCCAAAGCGAATTAAGATAGAAAATAGTAGGAAAAGGATAGAGAAATGGGAGCAACATCAGTTAGAGCAAAGAACATTATGTGTGGGTGAACATACATACTCATCAAATGAACCTATATATGTATCAGAAGGATCATATAATTTAAGTCAACATGCTTGGAGATTAGAAAAGGAAAGCAGTGATACCGAAAAGAAAAGTAAGACAAGTCAGTTTACATATTTTAAACCTTGGATTAATGACAAATTGAAATGCAGACTCTTAGAAAATAAACTGTTCACTAAGTCATGGAATCCTGAGAATGCAGACCATAATATTTTAAAAGATGACACTTTATTGAATGAATGTGGACAACTTTCTAGCGCAAGCTTATACAACATATGGAATATTAACAAAAAATGGAAAAGTCTATGTGAAATAAAGTCATTCCAGGGAGAGCCGAGCACAAATATAGACAAAAATAATAACAAGAACAGTGATAATGAACTCAAAGGGAATGCTTCAGTTTCATCTTTAAACACAACCTTGTTTCAGGTGAAAATATCAAGTCAGAAAATTGACACTGATGAAAAGTTGAAAGAACACCAGTTTTTAGATGTTCCATTTTTATGTAGCATTAATTCTGTATACCAAGAAACAGAGAATAAGGACAGAAACAACTGTCTGAAAAAACTGCCCACAGAGGAAAATAATGAGCAACTAGATAATAAAAGAAAAAGAAAATCATTTATACTTCCTATCTTAAACTCTTTTCAGAGTAGACAAACTTTGGAAATCCTCCATTCTAAATTTTTTGTGAATGAGAACATACATAAATTTCCTAGCGTGTCAAATACATTAAATAAAAAAATTCTATCCAGTAATTTGAAAATGCAAGAGAAAAACATTAAAAATCAAACATATGTAATGCAACATGAAAAGGTTTGCTGTTCCCAAAACATCTCTGAGAAAGAAAAGTTGCAAAATGATAACAGTGCTGTGAATGCTTCTTCTGTTTGTTCAAAATGTAATGAATGTAATCATCAATCTATCAATAACCAAGTTCCTGGGTCTTTAGCAGCAGATGTGAAAAAAATGCATGTGGCTAATTTCAGGTACAACTGTGATAATATTGAGCGTGATTTAATGTTTGCTGAAAACAATTTTGAGGGGAAAAAACTTAAAAATTCAGATAGTGGTGAAGAGCAAGAACCAGACAACCTAAGAATTCATACATACATTGGCTCTGGAAAATCTCAAAACAACAGATGTCGCAAGTCTATCAATATTTTGAAATGCACGTTGGGAAAAGTCAGTTGTGAGAATGTGGAGATATTTAATATAAAAAATACAACTATTCCATTGATAACAGAAGTACTAAGGAAAGACGTTTTAAACATAAATTATGATATGGACTATTCTAATTATAATATGCATGTAGAATCAATACTTTCTTCAACAAAAATAATTGACATCAAGCCACACTTTACACATGTTGCAACTGAAGGTAATTGCCCTTATAATCCTGGGCAGGATTTCCTGTATTCAAGAGACATTTGCAATGTATTGACTGGAAAAAAATTGTCAGAACAAAAAATCTGTTTTCATGACATGTTATTTAGAGGTTTCAAAGTATGGCCTTCATATAAAGATGTGCACAAATATCAAGAGGTTGACATTATCATAAGCTGGAATCTTTTGTATGAAATTTTAAAGTCAAAAGTACAATACATCATTTTAGAGGTAATACCAAGTATTTGTAATAACAGTAACAATAGTGATACACAGATTAATATGCAAGCTAAGCTTCTGGAATATAAAAATATGACAACAATAACAAATTGTGCTTCTTTTTTTGGTATTATAAGTGGTTTACATCCAATTGAAGAAAAATGCACACAAGTGGAGAAATATGCTTTATATTGCAGAAAACAAATACAATTTAACATGTCCTTGAATAATAGTTGGACCAAAAACACACAATCTCATCAAATTTACAAAACTTATCCAAGCATACACAAAGAAAATATAAACTGTAAATTAATGAAAAACATAATTTATGAATTGCATCACAACACACATTTCTCTAGAACTATAGCTAAAAAGGAGGATTCCTATGTTCTAACTACAGAAACTTTGTTTCATAAACAGCAAAGAAAATCACCTAAAGGAAAATGTGTTACACAATACTGTCTTTTAACCAATGAGGGTATAGAAATACACAATCCTGTTTCAATGTTTAATAGTGAAGGGAAAGATATGAGCCTGATATTGCCAGATGACAATTTTGATAGCTTTTGCCTGTGGAAAACATTTTGGTGTAATACCATTAAAATACAGGATCTGACGAAAATAAAATTTAGACTGAATTATTTACCTTCTGTTTCACAAATGAAAATTGAGAAGTTAAGTAGGAAATGTTCAAATCTGCATAAGCAAGTGGTTACATTAAAACAGAAGAAGAAACAGAAACAAATCCAAATATACAAGAGTAGCCATTTTATTAGAGAAAAATTGAAAACTTTGCATTTTGTTTTGAGTGAAAATAAAAAATTCAAAACCAGGGTACTCAGAATAAGCTTTACAAATGAAGCTAGATATTTTTTCCCCAATTTTCTGAGAACAACTAAAAAAATAAGCATTGACAAAAAAGACTCTTGCAATTGTAGAGAATTGCCAAGAAATTCCTGTAATCTTGCTACTCAAAAATGTATTTCTTTGATTTTTGACACATATGAAAAAATTCCTCTTAGTACTGATTCTGAGGAATTAGATCAGATTCAATTTACAAAACATGTTAATTCTAACAATGAAATTTGTATTGAAGACAGAAAAGTCTCCAGTTTAACAAATATGTATCCTGTCCCTGATAAATCAAATGATGCTCTTCTTCTCCCTGGATTGCCACCAACAATGGTAGCAACATGTAGCTCTCTGTTACAACAAGGCAGTGAAAGAAACAAAATGGAATATCCAAAAGATATAGATCCCCATATCTACTATTTAGAAAATGAATATAAATATGTAAATTTCCCTGCTAGTGGTATCAATTTTGGAAACATAGGTTTTTCAGGTGATAGACAATGTGACACCTCTGCATTCCACAGTGGTCCTCTTCTGGGTGAGGATAAAATGAAAAAATCTGGAGAGAGTCAATGCAGGATTTCCCTGAGTCAACATACAAAAATCCAATATGAAGAAATTAACAGTATTGTACAATACCCAGCTGTAACAAATTCTACAGTATCTGATAACAGCTTATACTCTAAAACTCAGGGGGAGGAAATGACAACGTTTTCTCTATATGAAGACATTCAGACAGACAGTAATTTTGGCACATTCAATTCAGAGCCAATGACTATGACACAAAATCTTGAATATTTAAATGAGGAGGGAGAAATAAGTGCAAAGCAAAATTACATAACTCAGAAAAATCAAAAACAGACTGAAATGAATGGAAATACAGCAATTGGCTTAATTTTGTCACATTCAGAGGATGAATTTGAAATATGCCATGCTTCAGGAGAAAAATTAAAAACACATTTATCTATAAAGAACAATGGATGCTTGGAAGATGTACAAGATTCAAAAAGAAAAAATATAACTGAATTTGAACTGAAGAGCATATTTGATTTAGTGTTAGAAGAGCTTTGTGTATTTCATGAAATTAGTAAAGAAAATGAAAATAATATATCCAAAGTAGAAACAAACATACAAGAACATTCTTTTGAATTAAATAATTCTGAGGAGATGGAAGAAAATTTTCAAAGCATTTCTCAAAAGAAAGTATGCATTTCCTCTCCAATCTGTGGTATTATAGCAGAGGAAAATATAAATAAGCAAAACCAAAGTTCACTGAAGGAAAAACTAACTAGAAATGGAGGGCAGGAAGAACATGAATCTTGTTCTTCAGATATGCCAGATGAAGAATTGCTTTACACACCTGACGAAGGTAAGCATATGGAATTATTATAAACATATTATCTATTACATTAATAAATACCTGACGGCACCACACTTGTACTCTTCATCAGGGGTGTTACTAGGGACAAAAGGTTCAGGAAGCTTTTTTCCCTGTCATATAGCATCAAATTAACCTAGCTTAGGAAGATTTTTTTTTGTCCATTCTGGAAAGCCCATGTACCATAAGCTGTCGTTGCCCTACTGGACCTGTGCAAGTATCTGTGGGATACTGAGAAGGGATAAGGATCCCAGGTAGGGAGTCTGGTACTGGGAGCCAGCATGGTGGGCAAGGAGAGAGGGATTAGACTGGGAGCCAGCAGTGAAATACTGAAATGACCCAGGAGAGGGTAAGGGGCTAGGTAGGAAGAATGGGTCTAAGTGTAGATAGGGGAGAGGTGGGAAGTTGCAAGAGAAATTAGGATTTGGGCACTGAGCCTGAAGAAGCAGAGTAGGAGTGCCTAGCCAAGAAGACTGAGTTTGTGGTGAAAAGCCAAAGGAGTGAAGTGTTAGACTGGCAAGCAAGTGGGATGGGACTGGAACAAGGAGCTGTTGTGTCGGTAAGGCTGGGACAAGCACAGGCTGGAGAGAACACAGAAGAATGGATAACGCTTGAGGGCAAAGGGCAGAACAATGTCCTTTGTCCGGTAGAGGATGAGCCCCCCTGGAGCCTGGAATGGTAGCAAGGATTCTGGAGGCTCTTCATTCCTGTTTCAGCGAATACTTATCAAACCCACTGGAAAAGTTTGCCCCCTACTCAAGTCCACACAGATCATGAGAGTTGAGTACAATTATCATCCAGTTAGTTTCAATGCTTAAGTCTCTGTAGTGGATCTCTGCAGTGGACTCTGCTGATGAAGTAGGTGGATATCAGTATAATGCCATATAATGGAAGCTGTTTGTTTTTGCTTTAGTTGGCTTTTGTAAAAATGAAGAAACCAGCACCCATACACAAGACAAAAAAATAAGACCAAAGAATGTTATTAAAGCTTCAAAGTCAAGTGCTCAAAAGTTAGGAAGTGTGAGAATTAAAGTTTCCTGTGAAACTTTAATTTGGACATCTGATTTGCATGAATTATGGCACTGAGCTTGATCCAACAAAGGAAGGGCACCTAAAGCAGGAATTAGGTGGAATTGAACTGGGCCCCACTTGGCTGCTGCCTGAAATAGCTAACTATCTTTCTCTTTAAAACTAAAACTTTCTAGCAAATAGTCTTTTGCTTCCACTATGTGTAGTTTGGGGCCTGTGCAGGAGTGGATTGGGGGAAGTGCGGGGGGGAGGCTTGGGATTGAAGATATATCCCTCTTTGATTCCTGCTCCACTGAAAGTTTAGAGTAAACTGCCTGCTATGGGCAGTTATATTTCTATTCTGGTGGACGTGAGGGACTCAAATGATTTCATGGCTTCTTATCTATTTGATTTCTGCTAATTTCTTTATTCCATAGGTGTTAATGACCTTTCACCTTCCTCTAATCAAGGTAGCCTTTCTTCTACAGTTATTCTTTCTGGTATCCACTCCCAGTAATGTTCCTCTGCTCATCCCCCAGCATAGCCAATACAATTGTGCTAATAACCTGCACTGGATGGCTTTGTTCATAGGGGGTTTGAAGTCACAACAGATCAGAGACAGGGAGAGGCAGGGCTAAAAGCAGGATGAGGTGTGCAGCAAAGGCAGGAGGGAGTTGTAAATGTGCAGTGAAGAGGTAAGTTATTGCAGTGACTCCTTCCTTGGTTATTCAGTGCATCTGATGACAGGCAGCGGGAGGCTGAAAGAGTGGTATAAGTAGGGATCTACTTAGAGTGTGCCAAAGCAAAGGAAAAATTGTGAGCATTTGCGGTGCATGGAGCCAATTTCACGTCCCCCTTGTCAAGCGGCCCTACCCTTCACCGCTGCTGGCCGAGCGAAGTCTTCTGTGTGGCCCGACCCCTCGCTGCTGATCGGTAAAAAAGGCTGCCCTTCATGCAGCCTCACCCCTCACTGCTGACTGGCAAAGAGGGGTGGGTCTGCATGAAAGGCAGCCCTCTGCCAATTAGTGGTGGAGGGAGGAGAGGGGGTGATTGCCATCTTGGCTGTTCCTGTTCATGCCAGCAGCTTTCTCCCCCACCCAGTGCGGGCTGCAGGCTGCGAGCTGTGAGGCTGGGCTGCAGCAGCTGCTGGATTCCACTGGGGAGCAAGCATTTTATTTTTAGTAAGTTTTTTCCCAGTGATTCTGCACAAAATCATGGAAACTGTTGTTTTCCATGGTGTTCGCAGAAACCACCGTTTTTCACGGTTTCCACAAACATCGTGAAACTGTGGTTTGAGTAGGTCCTTAGGCATAACCAGGGCAGCATAACTTTGAGCATGAATAGATGAGAGAGGTTTGTCTCTCCAGGCAGGGGTGTTGCGAGTGGATGAAGCAAATCCTTTCGACTGGAGAGGCAAAAAGAAAGGATCTGCAGCCTGGTGATTAGAGCAGTCAGCTGAGAGGGAGGTGGGATTCTTGCATTTTGGTCTTTGCCATAAGGACTCTTTCTGTATTTTATTTGAAATGGTCACTGGATAAAATGTTCCTTGAATAGGGACTAGAAACAAAGACTTCCCCTGTCAGCTGAGTATACTAATCTGTAGCCTACGGGGCACTCTTCTAAGAGATATAGGCTTGAGCCTCCATAGGCTGAGGGAATAGAGCCAAAGTCTCCCATTTCTGAGTGATTCCTCTTTTATATCAATGGTAGATACCAGCTCTACTAGCTGTCTTTCAGTTATATTTTCAAAGAAAAATCTGAGCCATTTCAGAGGTCCCCCTGTGCTTAGTGTTTCCTATTGGCTACCTCTTTGCTAGCTACTGATTTGGATTTCATTCTGAGGCACTATGTAAGAACGACATAACTAAGGGTCAGCGGTGTAACTAGGGGAGATGCCAGGGGTGGACACCTGGCCACGTCCCTACGGTGCTGCTCATTGCTCTGGATTTCCCTCCATAGGTCAGACACCCACAATAGTCACTGTGACAGTTCTGGACTGGCTCGAATACACAATGTTTTATTACATGATTATCTACTCATTTTTCTACAGGACACAGCAAGGAGGACCTACTCTGTTAAGAGCCTCCCTCATTTCCTGTAGAAATTGATACATTTACAGTGAATATGTCAAAGGAGCAGTCTCAAGGAGAAGGATATGAATAATGGCTGACCAGTGGCATCATATTCAGAGTGCAATGCTAGGAATTTTCGGGAGTCTAAGTCTGCTGTGCATCCATAAGAGGCTCTATGGCCCCTACTGTGCATGCTCAGTCTGAGCAACTACAAAATTGCTCAGTCATTCACAAACACGCAGCTACATGACCAGGAAAAAAATTCCCCTAAACACATAAATCCTAAAAATTCTCTGTAGATGACCAAAAAACACCCACTTAGATGACTGGTAAAGAAGTGAACACTACCTTTGGGTACTTATGTGAAACCCTATTGCCATGCATCCCACTTCAAAATAAAACAAAATATTGAATAGCTTCTCATTAATTAAGCTCAGTCCATCAGATGCAATGAATGAAACAGAGTCCGAGTAGCAACAATAGCATGCAATGACCTAACTAAAGATTGTATCATAATTCATATATACAAATATGCTAAAAAAATGCTGCACAGGCAGGCTTACTTCAAGCATTTCCTAACTTTTGAGTGTTTGCTTTTACAGCCTTAATAGCATTCCTTTAGTATAGTTTTCTGTGTATAATAAGGAGTGAAAAGTAGGAAACAGAAGTAAAATATTTTTATCTATGTCTTTCTGGAAAAGGCTGAGTAAAAGAGTAACAAGCAGTGAATAGTGTATAAGCAGAACTGCTTATGCTAGAGAAGCAGAATTTGTGTAATTTAAATGTATTTTTACTTCTCACACTAGTTTACAAACAGCACCAACTGCTACTTTTAATTATCTATATATCTATACATAGCAACCCAATGCTTTGTTTACATTTCTGTTTTAAAATTATTTTGATTCAGCTTGTAAAAAGGTGCACCCATGGAATCCTGTTTTTTCATCTCATTCATTCAAGGAAGAAAATTTCAGTTTACAGAAACAAAGAGGTAAGAACAAAATTGTTCTGCTAGTTATAGAACATATCAATATTAGTATTTTTTTAATGTTTATTTTAATTTGTTTTCATTTTATCCACCTTAGCAATTGTTTTCAATTTCTCTACCTTATTGTTCTTGTCCAGTATTATTTTTCACTTGCAAATGCTTAATTCAAGCCTGGGTAAGTATGGGCTGCATTCTAATAATTAAAATAAAAAGGTTTTTAGTTCTGGCATCCCTCAACCTCACAGCCTTTATGGTGAAGATTATATTCCTATTTCAGTGATTGGTGTGGAGTATCTTTTGCTTCATTTAAGTTTATTATAATTGTACTTCATTAGCATCAGAGCCCCCACTG